ATGCTATCATTTAGAGGCAAGACAGTACTTTTTATGTGTAGCACTTGAGGAAGAAATTCCTATTGGAAAAATGTAGTTCAATAAAGATAGATGGGGGATAGAAAAGAAGGTCATCCGTAAAACAATGATAAAACTATGTCATCAACCATGAACTATGGTTAATACAATTCTATGAGGTCATGTTAATATAAACAATAGCAACTGCAAAAGGAAAGAAGCAGTGTACTTACTATCAACCAAGTCTCCACATCCTAAAAGATGAATAGCAAGGTGTTATTGGTTCTTCTCACTGTTCTTTCTGTGAAGTGAGATTGTGACTTTTGTTGTCTTTATACTTTCCCGAGTACTCTAAAAATTGTGTGATTTAAATGGATTATTTTAATAATCAAGAAAAACAAAAAATTAATTTCCATTCTAAAAAAACCAACAAGCTATGATCTGTAACCTGTACACAGCAAATTACTGGGAATAACTTAATTATTACAAAGACTCTTGAATTCTCTACCAAACCAAGTTGTGTAGAATGAATAAATAACATGCTTGTACATGTCTTTTCAGATATAGGCAAATACTGTCCTTATGTATACACACAATGGCTTTGGTTTGTCATGTATTTCTTAATTGCGATTAAAAATATAGCTATTGGGGGCTAGGGATTTAGCTCAGCGGCATAAGCGCCTGCCTTTGCAAGCAGGCAGTCGTGAGTTCGATCCCCAGTACCGATAAAAAGGAAAAAGACAAAAATATATATATATAGCTATTATCATGTAGAAGTCAGTGGCATTTTAAATATTAAAAAATAAAGCAAGAGTTGGGATCTGGTATCTTGAGTATCTTCTGTACAGTTTACATCTTTCTTTCCAAGGGAGACAAGAGAAAATAGAAGGGGAAACTGGGAATTCATACATTTTTTTTTACTTTTGAAAAACATTGAATTTTATTTTTAACTGAAACATAAAAACAAATTACATATATGCATGAAGCGCTAAGTAATGTACTAAAATTTTTTATTTTAAAAGTAATTTTTAAAACCCAATAAAAATGATACAGAATTTCAAAACAAAATGATAGGAAATTAACAGTGGTTGTTATATTGGTTATTCAAAATAATTGCTCAGATTATGAGACATAGGCATGCAAAACTGATCAAACAATATAAGCACTAACTTTGTTTCAACGAACTGATAGAATTAGTAGTAATGATAGGGGAAAGGAAGAAAGAAGGAAGGGAAAAGAAAAAAGACATAAATTTGTATGTGTGTATATATATATATATATATATATATATATACATATGATAGTAAGATGGCTATACTAAATTGTGTTAGTTCTTGGAAAAGAACAGTTAATACTCATATGATTAGATCAATTTTACATGTCTATATCTGGTAATCTAAGCAATACTCTTGAAGGTAACAATATGCAATATTTACAACCATTGTTAAATTCCTATCATCTTGTTTTGAAAACCTATACTGTTATTGCTTTGGGTTTATTGTTGTTGTTTGTCTCTTTTGCTTTTTTTCTTTTCTGTGTTTTTTTTTCTCTTAAATAAATAAAAAAAGAATTAGCAGTACAATTATCTTGTGTGTGTATATATATTTTTTTCCTTTCTGCATTTCTCCTTTGCCCCATCCCAAATGTTTTTTTTTCCTTTTGAGCAGTTTCTTCCCCTTTCACAACATGTATTGTACCTTTTGGATCTTATTTAGTCTTTCAGTTTCTTACCCTAGGGAGGTGATATTGAAAGTTAACTCGAGAGGCTTGCTTCCTGGAAAAGACAGTTTATCAGGGTGAGAAAATGTGGAGACGGAGTTGGCCTAGGATATTCTCCTCTAGAAAGACAAAGTGCTATTCTCCCCTGTATTGCCCAGGATGAGGCCTCACCCACACCCACAGGGTGATGGCAAAATACCAGCAGGGCAATGGGGCTGCAATACTTGAGCACTAATATTTGCTCTAAGGCCAGGCTGGTTTCCTAACCCAGCAGGAAGACCTGGGTTAGGAGGGCATTCAGGAAAGTAAGGGAGGCAAAGTATGAGATATTGTTTTGCCAAAGTGCCTGAAAGGTCAGCGTCTCCCTTCCTTTCTCTTTAATTCTGTCCATGTTTTATAATGTATCCTGTGTCCTGTCCTACTATATAGCTTATTGTCTCTCACTGGAGTCCCCAGGACATACTCTTTTTAGGACTCCAGTCATCTCATTACATATTAGAACCCACTGGATCCCAGACCTAAAACATCAGACACTAGCTGACTGCTCACTCAACACTGAGGGCCTATGACTTTTCAGGCATGAACAACAGTTACCCTCTCACTTTGGCCTGTATTTAGGGTTAGTAACCTAGTAACCAGGCTTTGTATCCCATCTCAGCTCATGGAAGCTGGAGCTGAAGCGCAAAATACTGGCCAAGGAAAAACAGTCTTTAATAACTCAAGCGTATATGAGGGGGAAAGGAAGAGAGATTGTTCTATATCAAAAGCAAATTAACATCTTGCCAGAGATTATATCTGAATCCTATTGAGTCTGAAACCAGCTGCCAAACTGCAGGAAATATGAAAGAACATGCTGACGTGTACTGTGATAAGCAATAATCAAAATCCAGACTGTGGAAAATTCCACAGGCCAAATGGTATGCTTGTTCAATAGCTAAATCTTAAGGAAAGGAAAAGAAGAGAAACCTGCACATTACAACAGACTTAAATGTTTCAAAAGTTCCAAGATAAAGTAAGATAAGGATAGGCCAAAAAACTGTCACAGATCAAAGGAGACTAAGAAGACTTGATGATTAACGGCAACACGAAATCCTGGTGAGATCCTGGAACAAAAAATTGACATAAGTGGAAAAAGTGTTGTAACTCAAAATCTGGAATTTAGTTAATAGAAAATCACCAATATTGGGTTTCTAAGTTGTAATAAATATACCATGATTACATGAGATGCTAACATAAATGGGAAACTGGGTGAAAGGCATAGGAAACTCTCTGAACTCTTTGACACTCAAAAATCTAAAATCATTCCAAAATAAAAAGCTAAAAATAGAAAGAAAGCAACTAAAAGACATATAAAATATTTAAATGGGGCAAGACTAAGCTACTAATAAGGGAAATGCATTTGGGTTAAAAAAAATAGAAGTTGGCATAGTAGCACATGACTGTAATTCTAGAACTCTGGGAAGCTGAGGCACGAGGATCACAAATTTGAGCCCAGACTAGGCAACTAGAAACCCTGTCTTAAGATAAAAGAAATTTTTAAAAACTGGATATTCCACTGAGTACAAAGGCCTTGAGTTCAAGCCCCAGTATACAAAAGAAGAAAGAAAAGAAGGGTGGAGGAGGGAAGGAGGGAGGGAGAGAGGACTAGAGACAAAGGAGAGGAAGGGAGAGAAGGCAAAAGACAAAATGATAATTCTAAATGTTAGAATAATGGTTACTTTGGGAGGAGGAAAAGTGTTGTCTCCAGAATGGGGCACATGGAGAAGGTTCTGGGGGTGGGTAGAAAAGTTCTTACTCAGCTAGTAGTAGTAATTTGTCTGATAATAATTCATTAAGGCATACATTTGTTATAAATGTTTCTTTGTATATAGATTCTACTTTACAATGAGAGAGAGGAGAGAAGGTGAAGGAAAGGGAGAAAAAGAGAAACTTAAGAAACATGATGTTGATTGAAGAAATTTTTATGCCTGTATCTTGTACCCTGAAGAACTACTTTAAAGATAACAACATGCAATGTATTAACTATTGTTACTCTCCTGTTAGTTTGTTATGAAATTCTATTTTACCTTTTCCCATAAAATAAATTTTTTTAATTAAAAAAAAGAAATGTAACATGCAGCCGGATCGGTTGGTACTACGATCCAGTACTCTGGGAGTCTGAGAGCAGAGAAATCACAAGTTCTAGCCTAGCTTGAGTAACACAGCAATTTAGAAAGACCGTCTCTGTTAAAAAAAAGAAAGAAAGAAAGAAAGAAAGAAAGAAAGAAAGAAAGAAAGAAAGACTGTCTCAAAATAAAATAGAAAATGAGCTGGAGATTTAGCTCAGTATGAAGGTTTTAGGTTCAAATTCTTGCTTTGGGGGAGGGCAAATATAACCAATGACCTTGTTGGAATGAACTGGATATTATTAGGGAATTGTTAAATTTGCTAGGAGTAATAATAGTGATATTATTATGTAAGAAAACACAGTATATTTTTTGTAGATGCATAGTGAAGAACTTAGAGATAAGACACTTTTTAGAATTGCTGTCAAATACTCTAAAAAGGTGGGGAAATAGATGAAACAAATATGGAAAATGTTTTTTTTTTGAGACAGGATCTAACTGTGCAGTTTAGGCTCGCTTTGAGCTTACTTTGTAGCCCAGCTGGTCTCAAACTTGCAACAATTATCCTGCCTCAGCCTCCAGAATATTGGGTTAATAGGCATGTGGCCACCACACCTACCTAGAAAAAATATTAGTAGCTTTTTGTGTTTGGTTAGTTTTGGTATTTTCTGCAGTGCTAAGGACTGAACAATAGTTGTTGACAAACATGAAAATCTCATTCTTGAGTTTTGTATTTGTTTAGAAATTTTTCTAGTAAATGTTATGGAACTGGAGCAGCCCCAAACCAGGCTGTTTTAGAGCTATGGAGACCTAATCCTAGGTGTTCTTTATCATAATCCCCACAGATGTCCCTTCCCACCAGCCATCTTTCTAAGCTTCCAACCCCTATAGTACTAAGCAGCCTATGATGGAATTTTTTCCTCTCAGGCTCTATGTTATTTGGATTGAATGATAGTCACTTTTCCCTTTCTCCATCCTGATGTCCTAATAATGTGAGGAAAGAAAGTCAAAGGGCAGATGGGCTGGGCCAGACCTGATGGCACAGTCCTCATTGCTCTATAGCCTGGCCCTGCAGTAGGTGGAATTGGGGGTGGGACAAAGAAGAGAATGGGCGGGTGCCAAATCCTCATAGTCATATGTGTCCATTATTAAGTGAGCTTCCAGAGGCTGGTGGCACCTTTCACTGAAGGACTTTGGCTCCCTCAGGCTCCAGGGCATCATGCCTTACTCTAAGCAGCCTAATAAATTCCAGATTCTGAGCCTTCTGCAGTGGCCCTTGAGCTACCTTGCCATATGTAAGTACCAACCCAGGAGTGCATAGTAAGAAGCCAAAGTAGAGGCCAGGGCCAGATCCGGGATAATGTTGATGATCATAGGAAGTCTTATCTCTGGCCTTTTGATAATACAAGATGTACTAGAGTGTAAAGACAACGAGTTTGAAGTATTATGAGTGTTCTGGAGAAGAGATAAAACCTGGGGTAGAATAAGCACAGCAACGTGGCAGGACAAGGCCATGGTAATGATGAGTAGATCCTACCTATCTAGCCAGGGAGTGCTCCATTATGGGGAGTAGGACAGAGGAATCATTAGTGGTATAAACTTGGAGAAATTTGAACTGGGTTTGAACAGTAGTTTCCACTCTGGGAGGGAAGTGGTAACATGAGGGAAGAAAGAGAGGCAAAGGAAGGAGCAGTGAATGGCCAAGGTGACAAGAATGGTGAATGGGAAACAGTAGAGGGATGATGTTGGGTGGACAAGATTTAAAGAGAAATGGTAGTATAAGTGCAAAAGAGGGTAGACTAGTAACTTGATGAGGGTTCTGGGATGATGGATAGAGAGTGAGACAGGAGACAAGAAGAAAAAGATGGTGGCCAGATAGGAGAAGGGGGGAAGCAGGTGGCATAAATACAGCAGGAGTACCAGGATGGCACCTGGCAGAAGCAGGAAGACAGGGATGACTGATAGGAGGAGAAATGGGGCTTGTATACGGTAGATGAGAGAAGAAAGTTTTGAAGGCTAAAGGCACATGTGATGGGTGGGGAGAACCTGAATTGTGCTGAAGGCTAGGGTAGTATAGAGAGCTAGCTTATAATGAGACTGGACATGGTCAAGTTCTGCTGGAAGTACAAATTTGGTCTGATCTCATCCTTCATCAGTTTGGATCTTGCAGCCATTGTTTATTTCTCTACTATTTACACCCTTGTGGCCATTACCAGCGTTTTACTTTGTCTGGATGTTCTTGGACTGGAAGACTCCAGAGCAAGGTAAGACCCATGAACCTAGAAGAAGAATGCTCCACCTTAACTGGCAACCCTGCATAGTGATTCCCACTTACCAGGCCACAGGTCTCTTCTCCATGTTCTTGGAGCCATAGGAGCAAGTTCAGCTGAGACTCCTGGGGCTTCTTCCTTTCTCATCTCAGTAGCAGAGTTGTGGTCCCTCTGAACTGATAAGGAAGCTCTGAGTGAATGAGAGGTACCATAGCATGGCACATGCTGACTCATTTCCCTCTGGCATTTTTGTTTCAGGTGGCAGGCGTTCAGCCTGGGTAAGGAATTGGTGTGTCTGGACTCACATCAGGGACTATTTCCCCATAAGGGTAAGGGTCTCTTCCCTAATATGTCCCTCCAAAATCCCAAAATGCTAGGCACTTATGCCAAATAACTAGGATTGTGTGTAAAGAAGATGAACATCCCAGAGACAGTCTCAATTCAGGCTAGATAATTTCAGGATCCTCCATACTCTGCTAAGATACTTGGACACCCTTACCATGACCTGCTAGACTCCACAGTAAGAGGACAAATAGGGTTTAGCACAGTTAAACATAGATTGAAAGCCTCCTCTGACTTACTTGTTTGGGCTACAGAGGAGTGAATAGGATATGATTCTCTACCACCAAGGAGTTCACTTTTAATGGGGAGGACAGACAAGTATGTAATGACAATTTGGTGCAAGGCACAAAAGTAGTTCAGATGGTGGATGTTAAGGATATGGTGCTATCTAATCAGAGTTTTCAAGGTTCAGTAAAAGTTAGATACCAGTTTGTGGGCATTGGAAAAGAATTTGGAAAAGACAATGCCAGAATAGTGTTCTACAAATATACTGCTCTGTTGCCTGCCCCCGCCCAGGCACTTTGTAATAAACAAAAAACACCACCCTGATTCTTTGAGAACTTCCTGGCCTTTTCATTTAACAGTACTCAAAAAAAAAAAAAATAGTCACACGCATAAAGCACATTGACACAAATGTCCGAGACTACTTGAAATCACAGGCAAGTGACCAGGCCATTGTACCTGGCCCAGGTCCTGCCTTGTCACCATAGAGCCAAAGAGCCCTATCTCTTGGCCTTCTGAAACCTGGGCCTACTCTGTTTATTGGAAATCAGTATTTCAGAAAGCACCCCAACTCCTGAAAAATCTTCATGTAGTTCATGTTGTCCCCTCTGGCCTTTCTTTCTATGCCTATAGATCCTGAAGACTGAAAACCTGTCACCTGAGCACAACTATATCATGGGGATTCATCCTCATGGCCTCCTGACCTTTGGTGCCTTCTGCAACTTCTGCACTGAGGCCACAGGCTTCTCAAGGACCTTCCCAGGCATCACCCCTCACTTGGCAACCCTGTCTTGGTTCTTCAAGGTCCCTCTTATTAGGGAATACCTCATGGCCAAAGGTGTGTCTGACCATACTGGACCTTCTGGTCCATTTCTTTCTTTGAAAACACAGCTTTTTAGGTCCCCCATTATAACAGTATGGTGGTTCAAAGTATGTGCACTGGAGGTAAACTGCTTAGGTTTGAACATTGGCTCTTGCCACTTACTGTGTTAGGCAAGTTAGAAAATCTCTATAGGCCTCAGTTTCCTCATTTATAAAGTAGTGCTGATAGTAATAGTATGACCTCAGATGTGGCATAATGAGATGATGTGAGTAAAGCACTTGACATTCATTAATACCTGGTCCAGACCATGTGCTCAATAAACAATAGCTGTTGTTACTAATGGAAAAAGAAAGAGTAGAATTCTAGTTAAAATTCAGAAAGTCCACCTGGGTATCCCACTAGAAAGCTTCATGCTGTAGTTTCCAGTCAGTACCTTTTGTAAAATATAGGTGATATCCTCAAAGTGAAATGTGTTGTTTTTCCACAACCTTCTCTTCACGTTCTTTAGTCCCAGCTAACTGAGCCTCTTCTCTTAGGATGCTTGGATATGAAGAAGCCGGTGTGTCCCTCTCTTCTACTTTTTCTTCTCCTGATCAGTTTGTTCCTTTTTCTTTGCCTTGATTCTCTCCAGGCGTGTGCTCTGTGAGCCAGCCAGCCATTGACTACTTGCTAAGCCATGGCACTGGCAATCTCGTGGGCATCGTAGTGGGAGGAGTGGGAGAGGCGCTACAGAGTGTACCCAATACCACCACCCTCATCCTCCAGAAGCGCAAGGGGTTTGTGCGCACTGCCCTCCAGCATGGGTAAGTACCCCCCAGAGAGGAGTAGCATGAGCCTGTAAGGGATGCCAAAACAAGTCCCATACAAATATTTCCTCAACGAACTTTCTAATGAATAGAAGAGATGAGCAAAACTTTCAAAATTTTTTATGTCATCACTGCTTCTGAGTTTCCAGGAAGTCAAAGCATAAACCCAGGCTTGATATCAGGGCAGCTGGGCTGAGGCTGCCTTAGCAGACCATGACCGATAGAGATAATTTGTATCTGTCTATTAGTGATAAGTTCAAGAGGTACTACAGTGTGCTGCGGGAGTTTGTGTGGGAGCTGAAATAGGGGTCCTGTTTTAAAAGTCTGGTTCCATGGGCTGAGAATGAAGCTCAGTGTAAAGTAATGGCCAGGCATACACATAGCACTGGATTCAGTCTTTAGCACACACACACACATCATACACACAAAGTAATAGTAAATAAAATAAAATCCTGGCTCCATGATGTACCATGCACTCGGGAACAGGTCACTTACACATTCTGAGTGTTGATGTTTTCACCTTCATAATGTTGCTAATGATCATTCTACATATTCTTCAGAGTGACTGTGGGCTTTGCATAAATTTATTCATGTAAAATGCCCACTGTGCTTGCATGCTGTAAGTAATCAATAAATCTTACCCAGTCTGACTTAGGAGTAAAGAGGAACCTGAGGCTAGAACTATAGGATGCCCTATCAGGCTAGCTTTCTAGCCCCAATGATGCAGGGACAATTGTCTTGTTGAACACTCATAGCAGAGGAGTCTAAATAAATTGCCTGAGGAGCTTACTCATGAGTCTGGAGTATAAGTAAGCAAGAGAGTTTTGAAATGGGAGGAGGGGGTCCTTTGTTCTAGCCCAGGTGCTTTCTGAGTATCTCAGTGACCTTCTCCCTTCTGAACAGGTGCTCCAGATCCCCCACTGTATCCTCCACTATCTTTGTTGTAAGGATCTAGTAAGATATGTTGAAGCACTGAGAGATTGCTATTAGCAACTGATAAAGATTTGAATGGAATAGACTGTGTTCTTTTTACTGTTCTTCATTTAACGAACTTAACTACACTGATTCTCTACTTAAGGTATTATTCAGGGTAGGATATCATGGTCTCTGCTCTAATCTCATCACCCACAAACAGCCCTCTTGAGTGAGGGTCTTATTATGTACATACATCCTTGTAAAGTTACCCTCGTCTCTTCTGTGCATTAACCAATAGAAACAGTCAGATGTTTCCTTCACTGACATCTCCCGGAAGATTTTCATGCTGTGGGTTTCTGGCAATCTGTCTGGCAGAGTCCATCTCCTCTTGCTTCCCTGTACCCCTATTTCTCACCCTTGTAATGGTGGTCCAAAGTTAACACTCTCACTGCTCTGGAAAATTTTAGGACAAAAGTCTCTAAATAGGGGAAGTTTTTTTAGGACAAGAAGAAATGGTTTAGGTTATTGGGATTTCATCATAATACCATAGATGTGGGCCTGGCAATGAACAAATGTTCTTCTAGAGTGGTTCTTATTCTATCTTGTGTTGCAAAAATAAATTGGAGTTTTCCTACAGGGCTTATCTGGTCCCCACGTTCACTTTTGGAGAAACAGAGGTGTATGAGCAGGTGCTATTCCACAAAGGCAGCAGGATGTACAAGTTCCAGGCCTTCTTCCGCCGAATCTTTGGTTTCTATTTTTGTGTCTTCTATGGACAAGGCTTTCACCAAGGCTCCACTGGTATCTTGCCATACAGCCGGCCTATTGTCACTGTGGGTAAGTGTTGCTCTCAACTCCTGAGGCTTCAGATTCAGTTTTTTCTTAACTTCTATTTTAGCACTCCTTGCCCTGCCCCCAAGAAAGAAGAGGGCAGCAGACAGGGAGAAACTGGGAGCCAAGCAGGGCTACCAGAGGCTTCCATACAGGAAGAAGAGGAAGCTAAAGGAAGCAGAGATTCTAGCACTTTCACCCTTCTCTTTTCCCATCTCTCTTGTCAGTCGGGGAGCCTCTACCACTACCCCAAATTGAAAAGCCAAGCCAGGAGATGGTGGACAAATACCACGCACTCTACATGGATGCTCTGAGCAAACTCTTTGATAAGCATAAGACCCAATATGGCTGCTCAGACAGCCAGAAGCTGCTTTTCATGTGATTGAAGAGACTGCATGTATATCCAAGAGTACTGGAGCTCCTGCCTTGGAGAGGAGATTCACTTGCTGCAAACTTAAGAAAAGCCTGGAAAAGGAAGGGAGACTAGGGGAGTGTGTGTGATAGGGGAGGATGCTAGGAGTTTCTTCCTGGCCACAATGACGCCCTCCTAGGAGTTGTACTGAGGAGTGTCAGAGGGGAGCATCCCAGACATCTCTGGTCCCACTCTGTCCTGGCTTTCCTTTTTAAGCCTGACACCAAATGTTCTGAAGGACTCAAATGATAGCCAGGCAGCCCCCAGTCAAGTTTTCAAAAATTTTAATACAAGTTTAAATTGACATACAATTTTTATATCACATATCTAACCCATTTAAATTGCAAAATTTAGTAGTGTTTGGTACATTAACAGTGTTAAGCAACTACTGCCACCATTTAGAATTAGAATGTGTTTCAGCCCCACAACAACCTGGTACACATTAGCAGTCACTGCTTACCTCTCCAGGCTCTGGAAACCACTGATCTACTTTATGTCTCTATGAATTTACCTATTCTTAGCATTTCATATAAATACATTAAATAGTCTCGTGATTGACCTCTTTCTCTTAGCACGTTTCCAAGGTCCACTCATATTGTAGCATGTATCAGTGCTTCATTCCTTTTTATGGCTGAATAATATTCTATGGTACATATATACCTCATTTTGTTTAACCATTCACAAGTTGGTGGGCATCTCTTTTGTTCCCACTTTTTAGCTATGAATAGTGTATGTTTTTGTGTTACAATCCATTAGCCTCAAATATAGAGGCTTACTTTATACACAAACCACTGCTCCTAATGCCTTTTAGATAGATAAAAGGTACCTAACTCAGGATCACGTTTCAGTTAGCATAGGTATTTCACAAAGGTCAACTTGTCCTCGTAATGTTTCCTTGACTTCCAAATCTGAAAATGTTTACAACCATTTACTTGCTCTCTGTGCTTTTAATCATCACTAAATTCTGTCTAAAGATTTTTCCAGAAGCTGTATTCTGAGAATTTTAAGAGTTAATAAAAGTACATATATCCTTTCCTTCACAAGGCAACCAACAAGAGACACATTTGCACAGCAAATGACCAAAAGTTAAGAGATCATTTAGACTACTAGACTATTTTCCTTTCTGAGGTGTTTTTTTCCCTTTGTTTTAAACAGGGTATCACTCTGTAGTGCAGTTTGGCCTTGAACTTGCTTATGTAGCCCTGTCTGGCCTTGAACTCACACTTCTCCACCTGCCTCAGCATCCCAAATGATAGGATTACAGACGTGGGCTTATTTATCTTTAACTTTTAAATATTGGGCCTCAGTGGCATCTCACCCTCCTCATTCACTTTATGCTTTCTCAGGTCTAAAATATTGCCTTGGTAAGCAATACACTAGTACATCCAATTTATCAACCTCACACAAATATCTGACCTCCAATATGCCCAATATTAAGCAAATTATTTCCCTCTTCCCTACACCCAAATCCTATCAATTTATTAATATTAACCCAACCTGTCTCTCTTCTCTTTTCCATTGTATCTACCAAACTTCACCAAAATCCCTAGCCTATTACTATGCCTTCTAGTAATGTTATTTTAATCACCCATTTGTGAGACTACTTCTAGGGCAATCTTAAATCTAACTAGTCACTCCTTTGCTTAAAATTGTTTATTGCTCCTACCAGAATGTCCTAAAATTTGATCTATATTCTACTACTGTTTGTTAGATGTTAATGAATATTGCACAGTGAAAGAATAGTAAAATGAGTTGTGGGACAAATGGATTTGTTGAAGTACTTGCATAGTCTTTTATGAGTTTTTCAGTCTTTACTACATTAGCAGACATTGTGATACCAGGGATTGAACCCAAGGTCTTCACACTGAGCTACATCTCCAAATCCCTCTTTTTTTTTTTTAACATTTTGTATTTTGAGAAAGGATCTTACTTAAATTGCTAAGTTTCCCAGGTGGGTGTAAGTGGGATTGAACTTGCATTCTTCATGCCTTGGCCTCCCAGAGTGCTGAGATTACAACGCTTGCTGCATTTCTCAAAATTATCTGAAAAATAGAACCCTTGTTTCAAATAACAACTATCAACACTTTACAGCACACTTAGAGTTCCTCTAAGTACAATCTTAGAAATGCTGGCCTGTAGGATAAAATTCAGCCTCTTTATACCAAAGAAGGAAATATTTTTGGTTTGGGAGCTGTCAGCTTGGAAGACGCTTTGTAAGAGAAGCTAGATTCATAGACTGAATCAAATGTTCATGAGGAGTGATCAGGAGGTAACTGAATAATAGAGGATTCGGATTTGAATTATTCTTTGTTTTGGTTGTTTCTTCAAGAAGGAGGAATGAGAGCAGATTCTTAGGAAAGTCTTATTGGCACACGTAGAACAAATTTACCTGTGCTTCATTGTTATAGCTCCCAGAAGAGAGAAAGAACACATGATCTGCAGTTTAAACCTTTGCCTTCTTATAGCACCATCCAGGCAATCCTCCTCTAAAATTCCCTCTTCCAATACCTTTTCTCCTTATACTCACCCTCTCCCCCACAATGTAACCTCTCTCTCTCCCTTTCCTTTCCTCTACTTCTCTCTGAATGGTTGTGAGATACCCTAATACTTTTAAGCATTTGCTTCATACTCTGGATGCCATAATGACTTCATACATGATGATCAATGAGGAAACCACTCAGTAGAATTTAGTCATGGAATGTAAGTGGGAAGGAACACTTCCAGTGAGTGACCAAGATGGTGACTGTTAGTGAACCAAATGACCAGGGATCTCTCCGAAGTAACGACAGAGGCAAAAACTGAGCAGAGCCAAGCATGGTGGCGCAGACCTGTAATCACAGTACTCAAGAGTTTGAGGCTAGTCTGGGATACACAGCGATCTTAAAGACGGCCTGAACTACACAGTGAGACTCTTATCCCAAAAAAAGTGAGCAGAGTACTTAAATGATGTCCTGAGGGCTACCTCATAGAGGGGAGAGCTGTACTTAGTCATAGGTTTTTAGATGCAGGCTATGAAGGTGTTCAAAACATTCTCATACATATATCAGTTGATCAGTCCACTGTGAAGCCATCAGAGGTGTCTTACATTCTGGATCCTGTTAATCTTTTCAGCATAATCTTCAATCAGTCTCTATCATGTGCTATATTGGATAACATCGTATTTTCTGAACATGTTCACATCATGTTTCTACCATGGTAAAGCCTATTTGTCTTTTAAGCCCACATCAAATATCACCTTCTCAGTGATGCCTTCAGCAGGCAGAATGAATGGCTCTTTCTTTCATTCTCCCATAGCTTCTTGCGGTCTCTACTATGGGTCTCACCATATTATATTATAGTAAAATTATTTGCTTCTAGGCAACTACTAGGTTGAGAGCTTCTTGAGAACAGAAGCTACCTCATATTTGTTGTAGCATTTTGAATGTCCACAACAGGACCTAGCATATGATACTCCTATAATCTCCGGGCAGTAAAGAAGGAGTTTCATAAAGTCTTTCACAGAAGAAAAGCACTAATAAGGTAGCTAAATCAGGATATATAGGTCAAAATTATGCTAAACAATGAAATGCTAATGAATTTAAATCAGGTGACAAAAATTGCATAAAGGAAAAACTAATGTTTTGAGAAATTTAAATTTATCATAAATACTTGAAAAGTGAAGACTTAATACAGCTTCAACAATACAGTACACTGAGCTCAGTACACTGAGCTCCATGCGCTGAGGAGCTCTGAGTGTGTGGCTCGCATCTCCATCCCTACCCTTAGAGCATTTCCTAACTAATTATAGGTGCTCAAAAAATAACTGTGGTTCAAAGCAAATTACAAGTGGAAAAAAAATAACTGTGGAACAAATGAATCCAAATGGTCTATGATATGGAAGCAATTTCCAATTTTACTAATCAAATCGCTTACTATATAAAGTGAACTATCAAAATGGAAACTTCGTTTTGTCACTCTTTATATATGTTAAAGCCCATTAACTATTAAGGGCATATAAAGGAGAAACTTGGAAATTTTCAGATATAACTTTCTGTATTTCTTGAATAGATGGTAATCAGAGAGCTTCATGATACACACCTTGAGTTATAGTCTCACACATCAAAGACCTGTTATATAATTTAATTGGAGACCTCAACTCTCTGTTATCAGAATATGATGAATCTAGTGGACAAAAAATTGATTTAAAAAGCATGGCATCTGGACAAGGTAGTATGTACCTGTGGTCTCAGCCACTCAGTAAGCTGGGGCAAAAGAGTTTCTTGCACTCAGGAGTTTGACATCAGCATGGACATCATAGCAAGGCCATGTCTCAAACAAAACACTGGTACAGAAGGAAGTTGGGGGGGCATGGCCTAGTGATGAGACACTTGCCTGTATATACAAGGCTTTTGGTCCCATCCCCAGCACAGCTCTAACAAAAGTATGGAGATCAATAATACCATAAATAAGAAGGCTTAGTTGAATTGAATGGTAAAAAACTTGGTAAGCAGGACAGGAAATTATATTTTCTTTATAAATCATTCACAACTACTATTTATACATTTGGACATTTAAAAACACTCAGTAAATAAAAGGGCATAAATTCTATGCACCATAGTCATAGGACACACTTCAGTAAACTTAGAAATAAATAACAAATATAGACTTAGTGTCTACAGCTAAGTGAGAATTAAAAATACTCTCCTGACACATGGATCTGAAATTTAGAGAATATGAAATATTTTGGGAGAAATTAATAAAATATAATTATCCACATAAAATGTATGGAAAAACAAAAATATCCTGAAGTATCAAAAAGTCAGAAAGCAAAGAGGTGCTCAAAAACTGAAAGAACAGGCCAAATGTGGTGGAGCAAGCCTGTCATCCCAGCACTTGGGAGGCTGAGGCAGGAGGATCACCATGAGTTTGAGGCCAGCCTAAGTTCCATAGTGAGTTCAAGACCAGCCTAGACTGCATAGTGAAAACAAAACAACAACAAAAAGAAAAGACAGAAGTCTGTCAAGGGGACATAGGAGCAATCTGAAAAAGCTCCCAATGACCTAACAGAGAAATTTGAGCAACAAGACAAATAATATAATATTTTGTTACAATCCAAGTGTATTATTAATGTGTCTAGTAATATATACTTTAGGTTATAAGATAGTAATATAATATACTCTAATAGTGAGCTTATAATACAAATAATATTTTATAAATATTTATTAGTACTATTATATTATATAACATGAGCCAATATTGATATAAAGTATTGAATATTTGAATAAATGGTAGGAAAAGTACAAATCTTTACATAAGAAGCACTATATAAATAATATTCATGAATACCTCCTCCTCCGAGAGATGGAACTTAACACTTCCAAGGATAGACTAGACTTAGTAACTCAGTTTCAAAGAAAAAAGTGTCAAAATGGAAAAATAGTAACTTTGTATTCCTAATATATCTCAGATTGAGGGATGTTGTTCAGAATGCTTGGTCAGTATGCCTCAAGATCATCCAAGTCATGAAAACAAGGAAAGAGTATTTAACTGCCACAGACTGTAGGGAGACTAAGGAAACATGATGCCTAAATACACTAGACATCTTGATGTGCATCTGGGGACAAAAACAAAATATTAGTAGGAAAACTGGTGAAATCCTAATCAAATTTGGAGTTTAATTAATAGTAAATTAGTATCAATTTCTCAGTTTTGAAAAATGTGTTATGTTTATACAAAATGTTAATATTAGGAGAAATTGAGGAAGGGACACCAAGTAGTTCTATGCATCACCTTTGCAATTTCCCTCAGAATTTTTGCACTTTTCTTTTGCTATATCTCAGCTCATCCTGGAAATAGAGATTATGTAAAGTAACCAAGTCTGGACTACTCTGATATCTTTGGAAAGAAATGGGAGAATCTAGGATCTCAGAGTGAAAGAGGAATATACATACATGGAGGCAGATTTTTATTATAAAAGCTATTTCATATTGGTCTTTAGTCAGTGTCATTCATTGATATCTTATACATGCATAAATCCAATTTGGCATGGGATCAAATTTTTTTATTAACTATTTCTGAGTATTTCACTTTCCCTAAATCTTATTAGGTATTTAACACTGTTGTTTACTTTCTTTTTTACATTAAAGATAATAAAACCCAACAAGACAAAACAGAATAAATCCAATCAAAACAAAGCAGTGAAACTAGTACAGAAATTCAAAGTAGGATAATAGGAAAAAAACAATGGCCACCATAGTATATCTTGTTATCTTCACAATAGTTGTCCATTCCATCAGATGTAACAAAATCAAACCAAAACAAAATTGAATAAAACCAATCAAAACAGAATATTGAATAAAGCAAAAAAATTAATCAGAATAAAACAAAACACTGAGAATAATATTGGATTTCAAAAACAAGACAGAAGACCCTATATTTGTTGTATTGCATACTACTATCCTCCCTATACATGCTAAGACCACTGTGCCCAAGCCTGCAAAGTCAACCAAACAATACAAGCATTCAGTTGCTTTTTGTACCTCAGTTGCTATCAACTCAGCCTGTCCTCCTAACCAGCCAGTTGCTTGGAGGCAGGGAGAGTTGCTGATTCTCTGCCTGCGCGCCAGTAGGCTCACAAGAGGTGCTACCTGACTTTTCTCTTCCTGGGTCCCACATGGCTTGTGCAGCTTACCAGAAGGGCTGATTAGCTGGCTTCTTGGTGGGCTTCCCAGCTTGGCCAATTCTCAGTGGCACTATCTGACTTTTCTCTTCCTGAGCCCCGTATGACTTTATTGTTTACTTTCTTAATCTTTTTTTTTCTTTCATTCAAATTATTTGGTCATTTGAAAAATAAATTGTTAAATTATTTTTGAAAGTCTCTACTTTCTTGATGCAAATTCCTAAGTCCCAAACTGTTTCTTCTTAACCTAATCACTCAGGCCATTCTTCACAGATAAGTTCATCTCACAATCAAACTTTATTTTTTGTCATGATCTGAATTATTACTTCTAAGCAGAGCCAGCTCCAAATTTAGAATTTTGGTTGTCAATTAAAGTTGCAAATCATTGGGATCCCTGCCCAAAGGAACAGTATGTGATGCTTCTTCATTCATTACTCCACTGATGTTTCACCATACCCCTATCAGCTAGGTATTACTATCTCAATTTATCAATGAGGAAACTGCAGTTTAGATAGATCAAGTAATTTGACATAATTATCTGGCAATTGTGGAATGATGAAATAACAGCATGGAAAAAGTGAAAATTCTATTGTGTCTGCTCTTTTCCACACCCAGGTTAGCCTTAAAGGAAGACCAAGTAGTGAGTGGTCTTTGTAATGGAGTATGAGAGACTGGATATGTTTATTTTCCTTCAGAAATTCTTTCAACTGTCTTCCTCAGCCCCATTGTTACTAACAACACTGTAGTTATTAACAATATTAATTTCTTGGTGGTTCTTTGTGTCTTAAAGTGGGAATACAGCAAGAGAAGAAACAATAAGCCAAATTACTAACATATAATCATTATATATCACACACCATTTATTAAGCAAACAGGATAACAATCATTTATATTTACTTAGCTCTCCAGACTTGCAGAGCCTCATTAAAATCTGAAAAAGTACTTAAGGCTTAGATTATGATCTTCATTTTACAGATGATGAAATTGTGGGTCAGACAGTTTGAGTGACTCATCCAAAGTGACACACTTGAGCTCCACTTTCAGCATCAGAGTTCTGCTTAGGTCTTTTGATTTTCAGTCTTATGTTCTTTCCTTTCTACTACAGTAACTCAAGGGATTTATGGGCAAGAATTCAAGATGAAAAACTAATTAGCAATTCAACAGGTGAAGAAGTAAATAGCAAATAAAGATAATAGTATGAGTAATGTTAAAAGGTACTAAAAAGTGCCAAGTGACTGACATAGGCAACAGTTACCGTTGGAGTGACCAGAAAGGTCATTGTTGGTAAACAGCAGTATATAGGATCTTAAAGAGGAAGTGAGACTGAAATCTAGTCTTGGAAACTGGGTAAGAAAAGGATAGCAGGAGACCAAAGGGAGAGCATTCTAGTGGTGGAGACAGAATAAAGTACAGAGATGAAAAATTTTAAGTCCCATTTGCAGAAAGAAAGAAGAGACTAGCTTAGAGAGACTTTTTTTCTTTCATTCAAATTATTTGGTCATTTGAAAAATAAATTGTTAAATTATTTTTGGAAGTCTTAGAGAAGAGAGACTTATATTTAGGAAAAATGGTAAATAAGATTGAATAAGTCCTCTTAAATTTTTTGACTAAAAGATTTTGATTTGTAGACAATAGAGAGCCATGAAAGAGTTTTGAGTAAGGGAATGAAATTCTGACAAGAGCATTGGAGCAAGTTGATCTGGCAATGTGCATCATGTAGAATGCATTTGTGTAAAAAGAGATCAGAGATAAGGATCAGTTAGAAATCTATGAGAATCAGTCAGGTAAAAAACCAGAGCTGGTACTGAAATGGCAACACTGGAACCATAAAAGAAGCTCAAATGAAATCAGAAAGCCACAAAAAGCAATGTCAGAATCTGGTGATACTGGGAGAAAGAAGAGTGGAAGTTACCTGGGAGTTTTCAGTTCTAAGTGAGTTGAAGACAGAAAATGTCATGAGCAGAAATGAGCCAAACTGCAAGAAGAACTGGTCCAGACAGTTTCATTTTTCATATCTTGAGTTAGAAATACCAATGTCAGATCCAAGTGAAACTGTCCAAGGGGGCAAGTGCAGCATAAAAGTGGAGCTTGGGAGAAAGAGAAAGATCAAGCTTAGAAGTGAGTTGGCATGGTGGAATGAAAGGAACCATGACATTCAGGAGACCTAGGATCCAGCCTCTCCTCTGGCCTTAATTTGGTAGGTCACAGGTAAGTCATCTGTCAGAGACTGTTTTTTCACCTAGAATGTAAAGGACTGCTCAGGCCCTGCATGATCTCTCAGGTATTCTCAAGGAACCATGAGTCAATGAAAAATATTCACTTGGATATATGTTCTCTCTAAAAAAAATCCATAATCTGATGAGGGACAGTTATCAAGTAATCCCCTGTGACAGAGCTCAGGAAGTCTGTTCACTTAGGAAGGAAGGAAAAATGCTGGCCTCCCTGGTAAGTGGCTATGTTGTGGCAGGCTGTGGCCCCTCCAGGGGGAAAACCACCAGCATCTCCTGAGTTCTATGCCATGTTGGAATTTAGGACACTGGGAAACCAAGCAACCAGCTTGCCTCCTTGCTAAGCAATAGTGAGCCTACAGGTGCACAGGCTGAGAGTCAAACATCCCACTTCCCCTGCCACCCATAAGCAAATGGGAACCAGAGATCTGAGCATATGTTGAGAGGTTGACCATATGCAATATAGCAAATAAGGGGGATTTCCTTCTACAATCTCTTTGAAGGCAAATATTTTTACTACTGTTTTGCTTTATTCTGATGAGTGGTACTGCTCTATTCAATATTCTGTTTTGATAAGTTCTATAATGTTCTGTATTTCATTTTATTTTGCTATACATGATTGAAAGAACAACCATTGTGAAGATAATGAGATATACTGTGATACCTATTACTGTTATCCCAGTAACCTGCTGTGAAGTTCTATACCAGTTTCACTACACTGTCTCAACTGGCTTTGTTCTGTGGTATTTTACTACCTTCAAAATAAAAAAAAAAAATTAAAAAAAGAAAAAATATCAACAAAGGAGACAGGAGATAGAAAGAGGAAAGCAGCAGGAAAATGATTGTAAATCAAGAGGATAAAATAGAAAACTAAAGGTATTAAAATAAATAGGATAAATATATCAAATATAGCAAAAGATTAATGCATATATTTTAAAAATCTACATTTAGTTATAAGAATACCACTAAAATGCCAACTGGAGAAGAATGTAAATAACAAATATAAGGGAAAGTGTGTTCAATTCCATGAATAATCATAGACATGAAATTACAAAGCAAATGGAAAGCATACCAAGAGATGGAGGGAGAGAAGAAAAAGAGGAGAGAAGGCAGACATAAAAAGAATTAAGATGTGTTATGTACATGTACCAACTCTTCATAACAAATGTAATCATTATGTTCTGCAAATATGTACTTAATAAAAGATTTTTAAAAGTTAAACTAAAAAAAGAATTAACAAAATTTTTTTAACCATCCAAAAATATTTCTTATAAAGTATGATGTTGAAATTGCAAGGGAACTGGAACATTCATCTGTCATGACATTGAAAGTCTGTGCAGTCATTTCAAAAATCATGGTCCATAAAAGCATTCGTGCTCTGTAGTATGATAATCCCATTCCTCGAAACTTGGAATTACAAAGGAAAAAATTCATATACATTAAGATTTTCAAGACACAGAAAACAAAAGTCAAAAAATAACCTACTGATAGAAATAATTTTATGTGACTATTGAAATTATAAATACAAAAGACTGTGCTGGCAGGGAGGCTATTTACAATAAAACATTTAAAGCAGAATTTAAAAGATACATATTATTATGCCTGCTTCAATAAAATACATCAAATATCTGTGTGCAAACTGACAAAATTTAGAACATGAACAAATGAAAATCATTTTGTAGAGTTTAAAAGTATATATTTCCTCTGAAAATTGCCTTTAATATTGCTCCAATGAGATACTTAAGTCCTCTTTTTACTTTTAAAAAATTTCAAAGAGTCCATGCAACAGAATCAAATGAAATATATCAAAGAGAAATACAGAGAATAGATCATTAGAGTTCTTGCTTAAGAGGTAATTTGTGTTCTGGCAAGGGCAGGAAAGTAAGAAGAAAATCAGGTCCAGAGAGTTAAGGAGTGATTTTTTGTTGATGAATTGGGGTTTATGGAATTCTGTCTAGGAACTGGATAATGAAATGAATAAAGATGAATAGGCTGAAGAAATAGCAAGGTTAAGATATCAGTGGCAATGCTTTGTGCTTGTTGTTTTCAAGATGCTATGGAATCAGTGATAGAAGAGACTAAGAACAATGAAGAGAGATAATAAAAGAACAAGAAAGAATATCCTACTCTTTTTCTGGGACTGCAGGGAAAAAAGACAAGGTAAATAAAGAAGCAGGATTACTGTGAATGAAGTGGAGAGAAGCTGAGGTATTACATCCTCTCTATTTTGCAAGACATGAGGTAACTTGCCTAAGCAATCACAAGGATAGCGTGGAGTTGGGGCTCAGAGAAGGAGAAAAAGACATGAAACAGTCACTATAGACCATTTGCTAGAAATGCAGCAAGGTACGATGAAGTTCCAGGAAGTAAAAGTTTAGTGGATTAAACCAACCTTTAGCATTGGCCCCAGGTGCAAGCCAAGATGTTTAACTAAAGCTGGAGTACAAGGAAAGGCAGCCCTGCAGTAGCCCATTAGGCAGATAGTCTCCATTAAGCAGAAGTGATGGAGAGAGCAGGCTTACCAAGCTTGGCTGGAAGGTAAAAAATGGTGAAGGGTTAAAGGGAGAGAATGTAGATGAGGAGGAGCTTAGGCAGCAGCCATGAGCCTGGAAAATGGTAAGCAGTGGACAAGGCCAGTTCATTCACTCTTAATAGCAGGGTCCCTAAATAAGGAGGGTCTCAGATATCTAGGGAGAAAGAAGGAGCTCTTCAAAGAAAGAAAAAGGGTTGAAGGGGTACTAAAGTCATTTTTATGCAATGCAGCCCCAATCCAACTATCTAGACAGAGAGACTTCTTAGAACCCAGCAAGAATTTGGTATCCCTAGACAAGTAAGAGTTTGGAGACAAGTCAGCAAGCATGGATGAAAGAAAGGCAAGATTTGGATCTGACCCAGAAGATCAACTGGATAGAAGACAATTTCAGAGGAAGTATAAGCCTACCCTTCCCACAAATCCCAAAGAACTTCTCATTTCCCAAGGTTTAGGAGGTAGCTTCGTGACTTCTGTGTTCTCATCCAATCCTATAAATCCATAAGTGCTAAGGGAGTGTTGCACAAAGAGACAAGTGAGACAGGTGAGAAGTTCTAAAGGGATCATCCTAGACCCAGTGCCCCTCCCTGTTCTCCAAATCCTAAAGTCTATTGTGAAGGAGATTTATCATTTATCTGGGTAAAGTCTAGAGAAAGGACAGACACAAGGGAAGAGTATGTTCTGGACAATTCCTGACACTTCCACCTGCTCTGCATAAACCTACTATACCCCTGCCATTGACTCAGGAGTTACTCTCTCTCAATCTGAACCACCTACTCTTTCATTAAGGATAGGAGAGCTATCAAACATATTCTCAGCAAACATCAGAAAGGTGACCAATTCTCATTCCTGTTCCAAAGTCTGTTGTCAGTTTGAGTCCTGTGCCTTTAGGCTCCTTAGGGTCCCACCCTCCTGGCTACTCACCAGCTCCATAGTGCCACACCTCCAGTAGCTTGTGGAGCCTTGGAACACAGGTTTCATGAGATTGTACCCTCTTTCAGCACCTAGGTAGGCAAGATTGTCCTGTCTTGGGAACCAAGAAATGGATGTGGTTGCTATACATGGCACATGTGCCATGTATGATACGCCAGTGCCCCTGTTTCCTGCTTCTGGTTATCACCATCAGATAAATAGAGGCCAATCCTACAATTATCCCACCCTCTCCACCCCCCCAACTGAATGCCCTGGTCATGATAGAGAAATACATGCCATGAGAGTACATGGGGGAAATGGAGTGAGAAAGAGGACCAGAAAAGCCTTGCAGAATCCAGAAACAGGACTAATGGCCCCAGGAAAGAATAGAAACAAAGATACAGAAATAGAGGCAGTGGAGTAACTACTACTGTCTATCTAAAAAGAAGAGAGCAAACAAATCACTTTTCCAAGTGTCATTAAGGGTTCTCTCACCTCTGCCCCACATTCACTCACTTATTCCTCACTTCCCAGATTCCAATGTTATGATCTGTCTACCCTAGGGGCTTGGTAGCTGCTATTGTGGGAGGTGGCTGCCCACCTGCACCTGCCATCTTCAGGGGTAGACACCAGCACCAGAGAGGAGGCAGCTGTGCAGGGCTGGGGTCTGCCACCACTGCAGAGATACTGGAACTGGTGTCGGTACTTGTTCCCAGTGAGCAGGTAGAGCACTGGATCCAGGTAGCTATTGGCATTGGCCAGCAGCCATTTCACTTTGTAGGCCACATTGACAATGTTCAGAATCTGACAGTCAATTTCCAGTAGCCTTGCCAGATAATAAAATTGTGCAGGTGATATGGAAAGGCACAAAGCAGACAGCAAAGAAAATCAGGACCACAGTGATGGTGTGAAGAGAACAGAGACAAGATAACTGCACAGATCCTGGCAAGGGATGATACAGGCGATGGACCACAAGCCTATAGCACACAAGAGTGATCAAACAGGGCAAGCCAAAGAGCAACCCCATGACTGCTGAACTAAAGGTCATGTAGTGGTGGAACTCATCAGGCTGAGTGGTGTCATGGCACAGAATGGTGGTCCTCCTGGTGTTGGTTGTGACAAAGAACAGGTTGGGCACAGGGAAGCCAGCTACCATCAACCAAACTCCTATAGAGAGAAGGGCTACAAAGTGAGGGAGACCCCAGTGTAGTGCCCTCAGTGGGTGGCAGATGCCCAAGTAGCGATGCACACTGAAGCAGGTGAGGAAGAAGACATTGCAGTACAGGTTCCAATAGAAAAGAAAGTAGATGAACTTGCAGAATCCAGTGCCAAAAGGCCAGTGATTGTAAGCTGCATAATATTAGATGAGGGTAGGCAGTGACAGCACACACAAGGTATCTAACAATGCCAAGTGGAACATGTAGGTGGTTATTGCATTCCAGGGTCAGAGTTGCAAGAGGAAGAGCCAGAGAGAGCATTGAGGCCCAGGTCCAGGACAAAGACAACTGCATAGCTCATAGGCAGCACCATAAACTTGAATTCCTCATTGAACCAGCACTTCAGCTCCACTTAAACATCTCCAAGATCAGGGCTGGGACCAAGGGATGTGAACAGCGAGGACTCTGAACTGGCCATGGCCTCCTAAAAACAGAAAGGGCAGAAATAAGAGTGGCTAGATTTCCCTGGTACTCCCCCATGGTCCTTCACCTCTGCTCCTGCCCTGTTCCCAATTTCCTGTACTTTATTTGCCTCTGGTACCTTCCCTCTACCTAGCTATAGCCCAGGAACTTCATCACCACTCTTGCCCAAGAACTTTGACACAGCTCCTACCTGCTCCCCTTGAAGCTTGTTATGGCCTAGCTCTAACCAATGTGCCTCCATCCTGTTCTGTATGCACCGTTTTGATAGGATTAAATTTCCATTTTCAGTAAAGACTTAAGCTTCAGCTTCTTGTAAATCCCCCCAACCCCCCTTCTGCATGTTTCTGCAAGGTGTGCTGTTCCAGGAAAATGTTTAACCAATGGAATGTACCAAAAATCCCAGATGTTATCTCAAATAGGTTGCTTTGCGGTTTTTAGCTTTAAAATTCCCCCGCCCTTAGTCTGTTAGGTGCACAGTCTTCCATATTGGCTAATGGAGGCTGTGTCGCCAGGCCTGGAAATAAAGCCTTTGCTCCAAATTTCTTAATTTCTTGCTTCCTTGGAATTTATCCTGGGGTCCGAGCTATCACAAGCTGAGCCAGGTTGACTCTGTTACCCTTTCCTTTGGAAGCCAAGAGGGCAAATTCAACGGGGTGGGACTTAGGATGGGTCCCATCCCATTCCTTGAGATCATTATAGCTAGAAAGGTTCTTGGATACTATCTAGTCCAACCCACTCAGCATACACATTGGAAAGCTGGAACCCAATAAGATTATGATTTAACCACTTCAAGGCAATACTGTACTCAAAGAAACATCCAAATTTACAAAAAAAGCTAAGCCCCTGAGATAAGTAAATTACAAAAAGATTATATGAAACTGTGGAAGCAAGCAGAAGCATGGGGAATAAACCTTAACATTAGTACCCACAAAACAACACATTGAAATATTTTTGAAAATTTAAACTACAAGGGCTGGTCAAAAATCTGGTAAAATTTATTACAGTAAAATCACATTGCCTTTAATTCCCCTCAAAATATTCCCCATCACTTCAAACATATTTATTCCATTGTTCCTGCTGATTTCTGAAGCAGTTTTGGAAATCCTCTTTTTTGCGTGTATTTATGAGGCGTGATTTTAAAAAGTACAGTGAATGTTGCTTTAGAGTGCCATGCAAAGGGAAAGGAAAGCTCAAAAAACATGATGTGCCCTCATTCACCTTATTCATTAGATTTGGCACTATATGACTTCTAACTTTTCTCCAAAATCAAAATGATCAGGACAGGCAAATGTTTTGATTCATTCAGGGCAGCAAGGCAGCCATGATGGCACAACTAAAACCGATGACAGAGAACTTCTAGAACTGCTTCAGAAAGTGGCAAGATTTGTGGGGATTGAAAGGGGCTCTGGGAATGGAGAGGATGGGCGGGAAGAGAGGTAAAGGGGAAGTAAAAAGGAACAAGATTATATATGCATATGTATCACCATCCCATGTTAATAAAATTATTTTTAAAGTAGCAAGAACAATTAGGTAAGCATATTTGAAATATGGGAGAATATTTTGGGGATTAATGGCAATGTGCCTTTTACTGTAATACTTTTTTTAAAAAAGTTAAATATAACCCTGTTTTTGTCACACCTCATACATTTTAAACCCGTATGCTTATAATTATAGCAAACATTTATACAGCCTTCATTATGTGCTGAGTACTGTTCTAAGGATTTTATAGTTATTAATGACCACTCTGACCCTCTATGAAGTAGATTCTGTTATTGTCCCTACTTCACTGATGAGAAAACTGGGGCCTGGGTAGTTTATTTTGCTAGTTAGTGCTCAAATCAATTTTTGAAACAGAGTGAGCCTGCTTTTGGACCAGACTCTAGCATCCATGACTTAACTGGCATGCTTAGTTGCCCCTCTAAGCAACTAGCCATGATCCATGGAAAGAGCAACAAATATTTACTGAGGGCCTTTTGTGTGCCTAGTCTAGTTTAATTCTAAGCATTACAAGTGAACAAAACAAATACTGCCTTCTAATCTAGTGGTGTTTACATACTACTGGAGAGTAATAAAATTAGTGAATAAAATATACAGATTGTGATCACTGGTACAGGGAAAAATAGAGGAAAGGGAAATAGAGAAAGACAATAGAAATAGAGAATTGCTGTTTTAAATATTAGGATGACTTTAATAGGACAGAGTATTGTGAGAAAGCGGAAACCAAAGAGGAGGTCAGAGAAGTTTTCAGGGACCAGATTATGAAGTCCTTTGAGGCCATTGTAAGGGCACTGGGTTTACTGAGTGAACAGAAGGCTTATAGAAAAAGGCTAATAGGAAAAAGTGTCAAGGTTGGAGTTACACTGTGGAGTTACACTGTTGAAACCAACAATTTGCTGAAAATAGACTGCGGGGCTGAAGATGCAGGAATAACCAGACAAGAGGCTATTTCCAATAGAGATGATGGTAACTTGGACATGGTAGTAGAGGTGACAAAAAGTGGCTAGATTCTGGATAGATTATGAAGGAGAGAGAAGATGTGGGGTATGAGAAAGAGGAACCAAAATTATTCCAAGGAAAAGATAGCTTCTTTTAAAATGGTGTTGGGAAAATTGACGATCCATATGCAGAAGATTGAATCTAGATCCATATCTCTCACCATGACTAAACTAAAATCAAAATGGATCAAAGAACTAAATGTTAAAATAGTACACCTTAACCTGCTGGAAGATAAAATAGGTAAAAATTTGAAGTCATAGGCATAGGCAAAGACTTTCTGAACAGAGTCCCAATTGCATAAGAAATAGTGTTGAGAACCAACAAATGGGATCAAAGGCAGGCATGTAGTGGCACATGCCTATAATCTCAGCATCAAGAGGCCAAGGCAGGAGGATCTCTGTGAGTTCAAGCCCAGCCTGGGCTACACAGTGAGATGAAGGGCAGCCTGAACTATATAATAAAACCCTGCTCTTTCTCCCTAGCTCCTGGCTTGTGGTGAGAGAAAGAAAGATCAAATCTACAGAGATACAGTGAAAGTTGGTTACTCCAGAGGCCTCCTAGGAGAATTGCACCAGTGGAATGGAATAGTAGATGACCCACACTACAACAGCTGATGTGGGACTCCTCCTCAAGCATCTTCCATATCCCTTGGACAGAATGCCTCCTTGGATGCCATTTTAGGGAGGGGCCAACTGAACCTGGGATTTAGAACAGCTGCAAATTGGCTTTATCTAATGGCTCACTGTTAAACTGCCATAGTGACTGGGTAAGGGATGACCTTGGAAGACATTCATGGTCAGAGAGCTGTGGTTAAGATGTTGTGGGAAAATTTGGAAGCCAAACCAAACAGAAGCCTCTTTGCACTGAGGAGATAAAAAGGCAGTTTAATTTTTACGCCAGAAGACTGTTGGATCTTCATGCCAGCAGGCTGTTGTGGAATAATTCCACAAAGGCAACAGCCCTGAGTTTACAGAGAACTTAGTTTATATAGAATTTAGAGGTAGGAGATACAAAGCAAGTGACAAAACATTACATAATTGGCTACGTGCATTGAATCATATATTGATGGGCAGGCTAGTCTGAACAGATTTGTTGAAATAAAGGAATTTTATCACAATATAGAAATTCTCTGGGAACAAGGGGAGGGGGCCCTTACAAAGTGAGCATAGTTAAATGCATTACTATAATACAGAAACATTCTAGGGCAAGAATAAGTTGATATATATCAGTTATAACCATCAATGTAAATGGTTTCAATTCACTAATCAAAAGAAACAGACTGGTAGAATGGGTCAAGAAACAAGAAGCAACAATATGCTGTATACAAGAAACATACTTAATTCAAAGAGACATTTATAGATTGTAAATCAAAGGATGGAAAATAATATCCATGCAACAGGAACCTGTAAAAAAGCAGGAGTGGCTATACTATTTGCAGACAAACTGGATTTCAAGACAAGACTGATCAGAGGAGACAAAGAAAATCTGTATATACTTGTTAAGGTAACAATACAACAGGAAGAGATAAAAACCATAAATATATATGCACTAAATATTTGTGCACCTAACCATAAAAAACAAATACTTATGAAGAAGAAAAATCAAATAAGCACTAATACAATTTAATGAGGGACCTCAACATCCCACTGTCACAAATAAATGCATCAACTAGGCAAATAATCAACAAATAAATATCAGAAATGAACCAAACTTTTTAACAAATAGACTTAGTAGATGTGTACAGAGTGGTCCACCCAATAACAAATGAATACATGTTCTTCTCAGCACATGGGACTTACTCCCATATAGACCACATATTAACTCAAAGAACATGCTTAAGGAAATATTAAGGAACTGAAATTATCTCATGCCTATTATCAGATTTCAGTGTCCTAAAATTAGAAATAAGTGGTAAAAGAAACCCCAAGAACTATATAAACACATGGAAATTAAATAATGGCCTGTTAAACAACCAATGGGTTACAGATAAAATTAAAGCAGAAGTTAGGCAGTTTCTAAAATTAGATGATACCATGTGTGGGCCACCACTGGACTGGAACAGACACTATCTCCTTTCATCTTAGAGGCTAGTAAACAAGAAGTACCAACAGTCACCCACCCCCATCCCCTACCCCTCCCTCCCATCCCCTGCCCTACCTAAGCAACCAGCTTATCCCTAGAAATACAGGTTGTGATGATAGCTTTCGAGGTAAAATACAATTGGATGCTTGTGATGCTTTGGTGTTTCGCTAACATTGCAGGTCTAGGGCCAATGGTCTGATCATGGGTTCAGAGGATAGCAATACACAGTGTAACATTTAGGAGGGATCTCCTTCTGAGGCTTGCAGCCATTGTTGATTTCCTATGGTCTTGTGTTAGAAGTCCTGTATTGTTTCCATTGTTTTGTTGGCTTGTGTTTTATTCTCTTTTGTTTTGTTTGATTACGCTAAATCTGATAGCAGGAACAGCTATTTCAAAGATAGCAAGATATATTATGGTAGCAAT